AAATTTTAATGAAATACTAACTATGTATATAGTTTCGATAGACCATTCGATAGTCAATATAACATATTTGGAACATCATTCGTTCTATCTTATATTATATCTTTAAATGAGCAATTCTTGTATATATATATATATATATATATATATATATATATAATTGAAATCTCGGAATCGGCTCCAACGATTTTCATAAAATTTAGTGTATAGGGGGTTTCGGGGGCGATAAATCAATCTAGCTAGGAATCATTTTTAGAAAATGTCATTTTATTTGTATTTTATCTATAATCAACTTAAACTTAACTTTTCCTATCGGTAGGATCGAAAAATATTATTCATATTTCATCATTTTATTAGTAATTCGTACTTAAATATAATTTCCAAAAAACACAAATTAAAAAAAAATACCGAGCAAAGCTCGGTCATCCAGGTACTATATATAAAAGAGTCATGTTAGTTATACTATTTATAACACAAGAACGGCTTTACCGATATGGCTGAAAATTGGTGAGGAGGTAGCTTAGAGCCAGGAGACGGACATAGGATACTATTTATTATTATTTTTTCGAATTTATGCCTTGAAGAGCTGCTTTTTATTTAACTTACTAATATTATTAATGCGAATGTTTAGATGGATGTGATGTGGATGGATGGGTTTTGGATGGATGTAACATAGTCTGAAAGAACACATAAGCTACAATAGTTAAGTTGTTTTATATAAACACGCGGACGGAGTCGCGGGCGACGACAGCTAGTAATTTAATAAAGTTACAAATGTTATCAATCTATGTTGCCCACCTTAAAGCCGGTAACGAACCTTGGTTTGGAGAGTACTCATAGGTTTCTTAGGTGTGCCCAAAGGGTGTTTAAGCTTGTAGCATGAAAATGAAAATATACCATTTTTTTCTTTAAAAAAATCTACACGTTTCGGAGTAATAATGTTCTGTACTGTGAGTTCGAAACAAGAACCCTCCTTTTTACCAGATGTAAAAAGCTCAATGAGTACTCGAAATTGGTCATTTTTAAAGCGAATCATTAGTAGGTATATATTATTAACGTGTTTGTCTGGTCTTGATAAAACGAAAAGCAGCGCAGAGGAGATAAAAATGTGACGGCACACAGCATTGCTATTCGTTCGATAATAGGATAAACACGTGTTATAATCGCATTTATATTAGTTCAGTGGGCCTGTACGTATATTTGTGAGATTAGCTATCGTATCGCCCCTACCGGGCGTAAAGTACACCATAAACCTACTAATGTAAATGTTCCTTTATTAATATTATAAATGCGGATGTTTAGATGCATAAATATTTTTTGAAGGTATCTCCGGATCCCTGGATCTCGCTTAATTTTCGCACAGATGTAGAAAATAGTCTAGAAGAACACATAGGCTATTTATTAAGCTTGTTCTTAATTCCGCGCGGATGGAGTCTCAGACGACAGCTTGTTTTAACATAATTGACGATGACGAAAGCGATTGTCACAAATATTCATGATAGGCGTTACAACGTTCAAAAGTCCATGATTATTATTGCACAGAATGGTACATTCTTGCATAATACCTTTGAGAAATATGTTACGGAACAAAAAATATCTTATGGGATTTTAAAAGGAAATATTCGTGATATAAAACAAACAAGAACAGGTTATACAAAATATATAGTTTACCTGTTTAGTGAGTTTTGCTTACATTTATTCTATTTAACATTGGAAAATCCTAAATTTTTTGCGATAAATATTTATCAAGTTTTTGTTATGACTGTATCCATAAGCAAGATACGGTCACTATTTTCATGCCTCTTATTCTCTTTGAAAATAAAAAGGTAACAATATTTGTGTAGTTTTATAGTCAGTAAAACTTTATCCGAATTAATTAAAAGGTATGCAAATAATGAAAGCGGCATGAATCAACAGTTTGATGATGCATGATATAATTGTCCACACATGACATCACTAGCCGAATGTCAAGGTCATATCGAATTATTTACACAGACTCCTTAACGACTTTATTTATACGTCAGATCGATTAGGAATTTGTTTTTGAATTTTATTTCGTACAAACTGTCGCCCGCGACTCTGTCCATGCGGAATAAATAAACCTTAGTAGCTTGTGTTCTTACCGACTATGTTCTACATACTTGCCGAATTTTATCGAGATCCATTGAGCCGTTCTAGAGATGTAGATCTATAGATAGAGATCTAAACTTTCGCATTTTTATTATAATATTAGCAAGAAGAAAGGTATAGATTCCGCGCCTAATGATGTTCCGTGACGATTAATTCTATCTGTATTATTAATTCGAATCCATACCGCAACTAAAAACCGCTACCACCAGCGCCAAAATATTACGTCTCATAGCCAGTCCATTAGCAAATGTCAGTGCACAAAATAGTATAGAGTCCGGGAACTGGTATTGAAAGGAAGAATACTTTGAATTGTTTTTAATATACAACTAGCTAAAAGACAGACAAGTGTCTCTATATCGCGGCGATATCAATTGACAGGCGGATATGCGCATTATCCCGAGCTATAACTGATGCCCGCATCCATTGTGATCCCATTTATCGCTCGAGTAAGGAATTAGGCGTAATAATGCCTTACACTTCCCTTGACATCGTTCCCGACTCTGTATTGGTCAATCGTACTATGTCATTCACTCACTCAATGAACTAAATCACTGTTACTCAAATAGGAACAAATCAATGATGAAATTGCCTCAGAATCGGAATTCAAGTGACAAGACGGTGGCATAATAAAATTAAATAATTGTCTATGGAACTACTTTATTTTAGTTTGGTTTTTAATATTATACCAATTAAAAATAATCATGGCAACATCGTTTTTAGATTCGACTTATGGTGGTAATTAGCAATTTAATCCTAAGATTAGGGCTGTATTAAAAAAGTCGGCCATTCTTCGGTTCTAATACTCTCTGAATGTATTACGACATGACTTTGAAACATCTCATAATGATTAGAAACTTTGCAGTTAGCGTTGACAATCACTAACTAACGCCTTTGTACCTTTTCAGTGAACGGTTTTAGTATAAAACAGTAGAATCTAGTAATACGAACATTTTTTTATGTTTTACACACAAACGAAGACAGACTCTGGCTCCCCCAATTATTTCATCAGGCTTCGATTCTGTTTTGATGTGTTATCGTACCCCGACGTCGTTCGATTAACATCCTATTTATATTTATTATGCAATATTTTTTTTCATATGTTCTTCGAGAAAAATAATTTATTTTATCAAATGTGACTTACAAAAAACTTGACAAATCAAATTTGTGGCGGCTTCTTCCACAATCCATTTATAATGTTTGACGATAGTTAATGATTGCAGTTTAATAAAAAGGAGAACCCAGCTAAAATGGCAATGAAATAATTAAAAAAAAACCGACGAAGGAAAAATTTATGCCTTATCCTAAATTAAAAAAACTGAACGGTCGCTTGTTCGGTCCACAGAGCAGGAGATGCAGTGTGTATATAGCTGTAATCGTAACAATAATATTGAGGCTCGTACTCTGATACATTTAGCACAACGTGAACTGTTACGGTCTCGTGTACTCTGACCTTTATAGCGAAAACGAAAACACGAATATATTTCATTCGTTCCAAATCATTATATCAGACAATAATTTTAAATTATGTTGCAATGCATTGTAAAAGTAGAAAAGGCTATGTGATTGTATATTTTACGGCAAATTTATTTTTAAATCTAATTAGATATCGTAAACAAAATTCTGATCCTCGCCAAAAACTGACACCAATTTTCAAAAATAGAACCAAGAAAAAATTGCATGAACATTTCCATTCAATGTCGATAAACTCATCTTTCATTGTTTTTTTTATTTCCACCGTTAAACATTCAACGTTAATACTCTTCTCGGCAGATTAGATTGATTTAACCATTGCAGTTCAAGTTTTCTAGAAAGTAGGCCGTACCTATAAGTCTTTTCCGGCTTCGATATTTCAATATATCGTCAGAAATGTTTTTATATTTGAACCTGTTTTACCTTTGCTACGATTAGCAACGTCTATTTACATTTATGTTAATAACAAAAGTAAAAAAATCGTCTTCTAAGGTTAGTAGGCGACTAACTTCTGCAAAGCTATATTATGTTGCGCATGCGTAAACTTTGAATTTAGAAAGTTGTACTTACTCAAAACAGAAAAGTCCGTAATTACATCCATTTTTCATAAATCCACTAATGTTTTTGTTTTCACTTTGAATGGGTGTTTCAACCTGTCACCCATTTCTTTTGCACTATTTTGTGTCACAAATCCGGCGCAACGCGTCACCTATGCACTGATACATAATTAATCACATCACTTAAACCCTGCGATATCACAGCCTGGACATTTTTCCGTGTTTGTATTTAATTCAATGTGATCGCTGAACTATCACACTGGATTCATTCACCTCCTCGGGTCGTGCAGTCTCAAATGTCAATTATCAACTGTTAGTACCGAAACCAAGTATAAAGTACCGTTACAAAATATATCAACGACTTGAGCACAAATTAAAATGTTATTTCACTTAAACATTTTCGTAATCAAACTACAGCGTCGTAAGAATTCTTCTCAAAACTCCCACGGCATAAAAACAGTGGCGAAACGTCACCCCGACTAAACAGGTTTTGTTTTTTTTCTTGTGAACAGGTTCTACCACGTGATCAATAAAATCGACGTAGGACACCGTATCGCCGCTAGATGGCGTTCGTTGTATTAAACCTGAGAAAACGTAATTAAAATTCAGATTTACCACATTATTTTTCCGTAACAAACTAACCGTGAAAGTTTTATTGGCGTTAAAAATTCCTTGGAAATAGAATGTTTTATGTTGATTAGAACTTATGATAGGTTTTTAATAGAAATCGTAAAGATTACATAAATATTAATAAAACTATAGTACAGATAGTTTTATTGAAGCTAAAGTGAGGGTAACCGCAAAAAAGGTAGCTAAATAGTTACCCAATTTATATTCAAAGCATCTTTATTAAGTGAATAAGCTGCAGTCATTAGACAATAAAGTATAGAAGGAATGGACTGGGTATGATTTTTTATGGGAACTATAAATATATTAGTATCAAAAACTAAATTCAGAAGAGAAAATACCGGCGATAGACCATAGACATTGACACTATCCTATTGATTTTTATACAGTCATACGTCGCTTGGAAACAGTTTGACAAACAACAGCAGCATTATATTTAGGTAAGTAATTTATCGCATTAAATAAAAGGCAAACATTCAATTGAAATTTAAGTAATTCTTGCAAACCTATATTTAATTTACGCTTGAATACCTTGCTTCTTTAAAACAGTTTATATTGCTAAAAGAACTTTTAACTACTTTTCGCTCATTTCTTTAAGAAATAAGGTGTCGATAATACGAGATATATGATGATATTTATAGCGTCTTTTTGATTTTATTGTTGTAGAATCGAGACGGAATTAAGACTGCAAGATGCCGGAGTTAATAGAGCAGATGTACTGCTCACAGCAGATTGTTATTCCACCTAAGTTTCCCTACATACTAAAGCGATACTGCAAAGGTTAAGTATATTTGTTATTCTTTTATATTAATAGCTAGCTCGACTCCGTCCGCGCAGTATTAAAAAAACATAATTAATAGCATATGTGTACTGTACTACCAGACTATGTTCTACATCTATAACAAATGTCAATTAGATCCATACAGCTGTTCTTGAGATACCTTCAAACAAACATCCATCCACCCATCTTAACATTCGCATTTATAATATTATAATAAGATAATAAAAGTTAAAATGGGTCGAGTAAGGACCTAATTATGTAAGTTATTTAAAGGTTGAAAACCATTAAAGTATTATGAAGTTTATTTGAATTTTCAGCGGCCATAAAGACCCAGCCATACGATCTTCTGCGCTGGTCGTTTGAATACTTCAATGCGCTTGCGCAGCACAAACCACCTCCTGTCAAACTCCGGCTAGAGTACCCAGTCTATACTACTGAAGGTGGACTTACTCGAGGATGCTTGAAAGTCTTGGCTCAACAGGTACAATCTACGATAAGGAAAGATATTAATATTTTGGTTGTGATGCCAAAAATATTGTTAGATTTAGATTAGCGCCATCTATTGAAAAATTTTGACATTAATAAAACATGTTGGTATGTTTAGAAATCAACAAGAATGTAGCACGTTTAAAATAAACAGTGCTATGCCACCTCCGTGAATTTCGATATCTTTACTTTTCCAAAGATATGGGCGACTTTCTGTCGTTAAACAAATGTTAGGACAGTGGGAACTCTCGATTACAACATGTTACTCACACTCAACAGCTGTCAACAATGGAGGAAGTACCGTTGCCAGTGCTAAAGGCGGCGTGGCGCGGCTTCTGTTTAGACAACGAGGAGCTGCAGAGGATCCTGTGCCTCTGTGAAGTGTTTCAGCGCAAGGAGACTGTTCCATTCTTGCATTTTGTCGCGGTGGCTGCGGGATTGTTAACTAAGGTAACTGCTGGATTGATTTGTTCGGTAAAAAATAGCTAGTGGTATTAAACAATATAAATATATAACTGTTGCCCGCGACTCTGTCCCCGCGGATTAAAAAAAAACTTAATTAGTTGTCTATGCGTTCTTTCAGACTATGTTCTACATTTATGCCAATTTATAATATTAGTAAGAAGTAAAGCTGACGTTTCTATTCTGACCTATTTCTTTTTCATTATAATTTGATATTATATTATATTAAAAATATAATTGTCGATAGAACTTATTTTGCAATCCCTTACGCACTCAGTTATAAAAAGGTCTCCTTTGTATATTTAATTTGATAAACCTACTAAAAAACTCAGTTTTGGTTACTTAGTAAGTTACTTAGTAAAGACTTAGTGACTAAATATCCGTTATTGTTAAATGTTATACATAAGTAGATAATACAAACCAAAATTCAAATTATCTTTGCAGACATTAACTCATACAATGGTGTTGTTATGCGAGACTCTGAGTAAGGAACCGGATGGTGGTTCTGCAGCGATACCAGTGGAGCATTTTCTCTCTATGTACGCACTCCTCGCCCGTATGGATGCTTCGAAGGACGTCAAATATATCGACGGATATAGAGAAGGTTGGTTATACCGTGAGTTGCTAATGTCGAAGAAATTTTTTCATAGAGAACTAGCTGTCGCCCGCGACTCCGTAACGTCCGACTTTATAATGTTAGGAAGAAAATCCGACACTGTGTCGGTGTATCGACGCAACACTAGCCTTTTTAAAATATCAACGTTTATGTCCCCTCACTAATCAATCCGACTTGATAATAAAAACGCGACAATCGCGCCAAAGTATTCTATTAATTTCTAAAAATAAAAAGCCTATGTGTTTTATACTACGTTCTATATTTTCAGCGAGATCTGTTAAGACGGCGGAGATATCTTCAAACCATCCATCCATCTAAACATTCGCATTTATAATATTAGTAAGATGATAGAAATGACAATATGTTTTTGTATTTATGTTTTGACAACGAAATTTTCCAGTAAGACGTATCTACTTATCCAGTTCATTGTGACCTATTATAGCGTGCTTGACCAATTTTGAATAATTAAATTTCATTTGTGTTTTCGTAAGTCCTAATGTCAATTGTTTCTTAAATAAGACATTGCTCATTCACTTGTTTATGACATTAAATTTTTCTATACAAGTCTATGAGATATTGGAATCGAATTTATAGTTAGTAACATAAAAATGATTGTATTTTCTATAGGTTTTGCACCAGAGTCGGAACCTGAGTCTGTCAGCGAAGTCATAAAGTCTACAGATTCACCGATAGAAGACGTAATAATTTTTATTTTATAGTTATTTACTGCATGTATAGCACAAAATTTAATTTTTCACTTCACTTTTTTAGTATTATAAATGCAAGCTGTTCACCCTTTTGTAGTCATTTGATTTGGCACGTCGGTAACATGTATACTCTTGTGACTGACGTGCCAACTAAAGCACAGAACGTCTAGGTGTCATCTGATGATTTCTGGCAAGACAATGACTTGAAGAAAATAAGCATTATAGACGACAATGTGCCGCGTTCCGCAAGGATCAGTATGAAGTTGAATATGCCACTGATTGGGAAATTGGAAAGACCACCCTCGGTCGAGAGAGCGGGTCAGATTGAGCGAGAAAACTACTTGAGAGAGAGACAAGGTTGCTACATTCTAAACTAGAGTAGTTCGAATTCAATCACCAAGACATGTAGCTTTTTTTTTAAATATCTAGACCATAATTATATGTCTCTACAAGCGTGAGCTAGAATTTGATATTAGCGTAGTAAACACAAAGTTATTTTTTTTTTAATTGCACAAGAAAATGCCTTGATATTGTAATTCCTATAAAGTTTTTATGCATATGTTATTGTTTGTACAAATTAATTATTTTATTTGATAGTTTCATGATTTATTTTTTTAATAGATCGAACTTAACAACTACTGCCATCTAGTTTTCTGATTTGAAATAAAAATTTTGAACTTATAGCTGAATAATAAAAAAAAATTTTCAGGAAGAGCTGCGCCTGACCAAGAAGTTGATGTTAGTTTATATTTAATAACTTGTTTACTTAGTAATGTTAGGAAGAAAATTCGAAAACGAGCCAGTGTATTAACTCAACACTAGCCTTACTAAAATGTCGACGTTTGTGTCCCCCTCGCTAACATAATATAATATCTAAAAGTATTTACATAAAATATCATTAACATTATATACTTAGTTATAAACCTTAATTATATAAGAAGAGATAAGCAATAGTACATTGAAATATACTACCTTTATATTGTTTTTTTTTTTACAGCAAAAGCTTCGAGAAATAAGTGCTTCCAAGATGGGTCCTGAAGAAGCAGCAAAAAAAGGTTTGTTTATAAAATAAAATATCTGCACTCACAGCGGGAGCCAACTATAGAAAGGGTTTAGAATTACTGGCATAAATAACGTTTTTATTATGAAGTTTACACTTTTAGGAATAAATACAGGATTAAGTAAATATAATAGCGAAGTTCTTGATGAAATGTTTGCATAAGTGTCGCAGTTCCACTATTTCGTTATTTATTTATTTTTATTTATCACAAACAGATGTACAGGCAACGGAGAAGCAAGTCGAATCAAAGAAAGATGGAATAATTATAAATGTCTACGATGAGGAGGGTGAAACAATACCATACAAAATTTATGGTTATAATTTTTTTTTCACTTTTATTTTGTTTTAGTGGATTACGTAGACTCTTTGAAATCTATGTAATATGTATTTAATTGTGTATAGGTCAATCGAAAGTAGATGTAACCGTGGAAGAATATGAAGCAAAGAGTGATGTAGAAAATGAACAAGAAACAGAAAAAACTAACGAAGAAGAAGAAATGGCTAAAGTGGAAGAGTTTATTGCAGAAGTAATTTATATTGCTCTAATTTAAAAATATAGTTTGTTATTAGTAATGGAAATTAAAAATAACACTAAATTCATCACAAATGCATGTAGTATTGAGTCCAGTATTTTGTGCTTTTGGTTGTCTCATACGACCTAAATTCTTGTCTGAGGAATGATGGTCATGTGGTCGTTTAGATGTGAAGACGAAAAACTGACGTAACAGACGACAGTTTTGTTTCCCTCTTTGGTACTTCGAACCTCTCTTTTTTCTTTTATTTATTTTATTTAACTTTCATGGTAACCAGTGTTATGCAGCGCGTGAAGAGCGACGAGCAGACCTCGAGTTTACATTCGACGAGCTTGCCTTATTGGTCGATAAGTTTAAGACGGCTAACTATGATTTGGGTTAGATAATAATAACTATATCGTGTTCTTGTAGATTTAGCAGTTGTCGGAACTTCGTTTGCGTTTGCTCGTTATTAGCAATCAAGTAGCATTCAATTGTTTTAAGGGTGTTACTAAAATTAGAACGTTGGGTTAAAGATTTTCGGACAATCTAACTTTGAAGTATCATATACCATGGAACAACATTATTGTTATCTTGTTCATGATGACAATATTGTAACACAGATAATATCACGGGACTTTTGATTAATTGGTATACCTTTAGAAAACAAACGTAGCTATTTTAATACTAGTAAAATTGTTTTCTTTGTGCGTAGCAAATCTTCTTTACTAAAAATTGTTCTGGCCAATCCGTGTCCGTTCTAGTTATATCTTGGTGTTCCAGGTATGGTGGCTGGTAGGCAGATGTCGACGACTAGTGGGGAGTTCATCGTGGAGCACGTGGAGCGAGAAATTATGGAGAAAGTCAACGAACAGATTGATATATTACCGGATCCCTCGTTGAAGAAGAAAAAGGTAATTTAAGGAGGATCCCTTCAATCTTGCTAGTAGTACTAAGGTTTAGATGGATGGATGGGTGTTTGTTGAGGAGATATCTCTAAAACGGCTGAATAGATCTTTCTTAAAGAGAAGAATACGTAGGCTGTTATTTTTTTTAATTAGGCATAAACGGAGTCTCGACCATATTTTTAAACATTTCCAGGCTAAACCTGAAGAAGTAGCTATGGTACGGGATATCCTAAAGAACTTTATCGATGATAACATGGATGTTATTGTGCCTGAAGAGGAGGAAGTCGAAGAAGAAGAGCTGCCCATACCGACAGTATGTCGACTTTTAACACAATAACAATTATTATTTTAACTACTTAAAGTTTTTAGGAGGAATTAAAAAAAATGTGAGGTTGCCCTAAGTTAAAAGTGACTAGGCCGTTATCAAACCACTCTTACCCAGTGCTGCAACTGATCAACTTAACGCTAACAATCGTGGCTCTACTTGCTTGGTTTCCGAGACTAAAATTCCCGTTTAAAACATAGCGTTATCACTGGACAAAGATAAGGATAGGAATGATTATAATGTTTCATACAGAGAATTTTGTCTCGGGAATTCACGGTCAGTGATGTAAAAACCAGAGTAAAGCTTATATGTTGCTTAGATAATAAATGTGTACGCGGTGCCTGGTATCGGGCCGCCTGTGGATGAACACATCATCAAAGATGTAGAGGACTACGCCGCTGAAGTAGCGAAGGTGCAGGCCGAGCTCTTCATGCCGCGCAACATACGGCACTTTATGTGTCCACCTTTGGAGAAGTAAGTTTTTTTTATAAGGGGGCACATGTTTGCCCCCTTATAAAAGCGGGAACACCAAGGTGTTCAGCGAAGCTCGTGGACATCCGCAATACCAGAGCCGGCCAATAATTGCCGGCCTTTGAGAAGGTGATACGCTCGCTTCTTGAAGGGCCCTATGTCATAGCGGTTTACTATGAAAAGCACTGGGCTGTTAGATTTGTAATAAAAAATTTCTCTCTGTTTTTCATAGAGAATAAGCCAACTGAAAATATTTTTATACAAGTGCGGATAGCCATAGATAATGTCAGATAGGAAATTGCTAAAGAGGAAATGAGTTGTTTGGAATATGTGGGAAAAATGGGAAAAACAGTTACTGGGGAATTTGGGAACAATGTAAGTTGGTGAAGACTGCATTAGAGTCCTGATAAAGTCTTTAAGATGTAAAATCTTAGTCGTGCAACAAGAATTGGTAGACAAATTGGTCTGATTGGATCAGTCTTTTTAACATCGATTTTTTTATAGGTGCATTGAAAATGTACTCGAAAATACATCGACCAAAGAAGAAGTACCAATCAGCGGTGTCATCACGGACTAAATGCACGAAGTTTTCTTATCACATTGTTGAGTAATTTTATAATAGCAATAAATTATTGAATCTTTAGGATTTCCACAATTAATTGTATTTTCACGAAATTCGATTCAATAAAGATTTTTTTAATTATTTTTTTGGTAATATTTTTTATAATCGCATATAAAAGTTTGTTAACATTTTTGATAGTTAATATTTATTAGTTTATTGGACTAAGAACATAAGTTTCCAGTCTTCGTACTTTTCGTCTTAGGACTCTAGGGATATTACTCAAGGAGTGGGATTAAAATGAATAATTTAACAAAGATTAAAATAAAACAATTTGAACTTTACATTGTTTTTATTTTAATATATATGGAATAATAAATTAACCCCCCCTCAATGTATATACCAACCTATCACCAAAACATGTGGCTGCACGGACTATCCCTTACCCGCTTTGGCTAGGTCCAACATGGCCTCCCTACAAATATTAAAAAATTACTAACAATTTAATTTTGTTACATTTCAAAGCGATTATTTCTAGAAACTTTGTCAGTGGCATTATTTAATTTTGATATAAATATTACGTATTAGGTAACTATAAATGTCAAGGATGCCGTAAAGACCGAGCCAAACCGTCACCAGGACTATCAACCATTGAGCATTTTGTCAACCAGCACTTCATAACCTAACAATCCACCAAGATTTTGCAGATTTTATACCATAGCCATTAAACCACTGGCATCTATGCAAATAAAGTCGAAGCATTTCCACTTACACGATTTCCGAACAGATTTATCGACGCCATTTTGTTTAGAAATAAATTTCAATAAACAAATGCAGTTCCAAAAATCAATCAACTTACCATGAGTTTCCGTGTCCAAAACCACCGTTTAAAACATATTGTCATCTTTCTGTTTTATACAGAGCATTTGGTGTCAGAAACCCACGGTTAAATAACAATAACGTTAACAAATGTTTTTAATCTTAAAATGAAAATGTGAAAATCAGTTCAGAAATCGTAACATTCACACATAATATAGGTTCTACATTGTACATATGATAAAAAGAGAATTTATTTCACCACAGTTTATTTGGATTTAGCTCTGGGTTACAAAACTATATACATAATAATGCCTTGCACTAAATTGTATCCAAAACACTATTTCCACCAAACAATGCTTCATTAGAATTAAATAAGCATCCATGAACGCAAAATCTATACAAGCTCTCCATAATAATTAAAAAAAAAACAGACAAGATTTTTGTTCAAAATGTACATATAATATACTTACAAGCGAAAAACAAATTTCTATTCATTTATTCGCAAACTCGCCTTCGTTAGGAATCAACTCTTAAATTACACTAAGGGAACTTAAATTAGAAACAGAAATTGGAATCGATTTACATCGAATAACATATCGAGTTATAGTGACGTAGTCACTTATTGCAATCGTAATATCGGAAGTGATGGTTTATGGTACTACCCAAAAACATTAGGTATAATCCAAAACCGATACCAAATTTTATCAGCAATCGCTGTGCCAATTCCAACGCAAGACGAACTAAAGAGTCCTTCGCAAAACTTAAGTTATTAAAATGCTAACACTTAAACAATGTGTCGTATAAACTTAGGCAATACTTAACAATAACTTACACCAAACTGTGAGTATCCACTGTCGAAACTGACAAAATATTGTCATCTCTTTCATTCGCTAATGAAAAACAGAGACAACAATATATTGTATGGAAATTCATCAGTGAAAACTCACGGTAACGGATCTTGTCTTGTAAACATTGCTTGTATGGCAGATAAAGTTGTACATTAGTAAGATATAGTGTTCAATTAAATATAATTTATTACAAGAATGGATTAAGCGAGCACGTTTTCCATACATCAAAGTCCGCTAAGGAAGACTATCAGATTAACACGAATTAATTTAATTCTCGTAATATCCTTGATGAATTCGCATCACGATTAAAAATTTACATCTAGCGTATAATAAAGAAAATTTATAAGAAATGACAGCTGTAAAAAAAAAACGAATAATAAATAACTCTATTACTAAGGAAGCATGAAATGCAATATGGTACTCAAATACCCGTCTACGCAAATATGTTACCGATGAATAGTGAATGTTATCCTTTTATAATTTGTCTAGACAAATTGTAATCAGAATAAATGACAAAATATAACACGTCACGTTTTTAATTAATTACAATTTGACGAGGCAAATTACAAATGCCATTCGATATATCGATGATATATGTCTTCTGGAGCGAATTATTTAAAAAATTGTAGCGCATTTGTTTTAGAGTCAACCGTTTCTTTTCTACTAACAGCGCTTTTTATTCACTAAATATTCTCCTTTGATTTAAACACAATTCGTTTATTAATTCTGAAGCTAGCGATCCATTACATAGAATTTATAATCTTTTATTTTATATCATACTATTCATTAGCAGGATATATAAATTAATAAACAAATATTCTGTTTATTGCTTATTATAAATTTGGTTTTATACAACCACGGTTTTGGTAATTGTTATAGTTAAGAAAACTGAATGTATTTATCTCTTTTACAATTGCTTGTATAGATGTAAATTTTGTTATCTTTGAATAATCTTAATTAATCGACATTTTGAGATAAGGAAACTAAATTATATATCATTAGAAAGGAAATCATAATGTAATAAAAACTTTTTCAAGTTAAACTTCTTGCAGAGGCTAATTCTAATTACGATTTCTATTTTTTCAATGTTCTTAATATCGAAACGTTTTCTAGCATTCCATAACGACCGTTTGTGATGAATATTTCAAATATTTTAAATAATATTAATCTATATTAACTCAATTCCAACTTAATAATTTATCGGCTAAATTTTTATATTTTTGAGCTTTTATTTCTATTAAATAATGTACGAATTTGTAACCGATTTCAATTTAAAATAAATCATGTAAATGGAAGAATATCTAAAAATGTATAATAGGAATAAACAAATTATTTGCCTAGTTTTTTTTCTTATTATTTGTGTTAAAAAACGATCAACTCGAAAGTGATTAACAATTTAAAAATTGTAAAACTATTTAAAGATCGTAGATATAATGCTAAGATCGATAATGCTATCGAAACAATTATAATGAGGTTTTTTTTTAAATCCCAACAATAACCAATAACCTAATTTGTCCCAGAAGAAATAAACTAAAATAAACTTCCATTCAAACTTGTCACATATCTATCGATTGTAATTTTATTACGTTAAATTACAATAACATTAAATTTAATCAGTAGCCCATACATAACGTAACGACACACTATTTTAATTTGTTATTACTATGCGATAACAGGGTTTGACTATATTTGAAAATACTTATTGAGCTGAAATATAGATACAAAATTATTTGGAATCAACATTTTAAATATAACCAACGTTACAACAGAACTATCATCTAGCGCTCGAGAAGATAAAATTCGCTACCTAAAAAAAACCTTTCATACTGTCACAAATAACAATTTTTAGGGTTAATATAAGTCTCATCGCATCGTTTTCGTGGAAGCAAAAATTCAACAGCTCATATGAAGCTTATAATAAGAGAAAAATATCCCTAAACCGATTTATTTGCCGTTATCTTATTAATATCTATTGGTGTCAACTTTCGCGGGTTTTTGTCCGGCCGCCATCTTGTAACAAACGTCAGCGTGAAATTAATGTACTTTGATCGCAGCGAATACGGAAGCATATTCATAGTCAACGATGCGTGCTTTTAAAGTTGAAAAGCGCGCAGCATCAAGCGATGGCCACCAGGAGGCGAGCGGCGCGCGTTAGATAGTCAACTATGCGGCGCCAAATGTTCCGCAGCGCGTCAGACCGGCTGAACAGGAATCTCCACAGGAACAACACGGTCGCCACTTGAGTCACAATGTGCACTATATGTAACCTGTCAAATTAAATCACATTAATAAACTACCTATTTCTTAAAAAGTTCTCGTTCTAATTCGTCGTATTTTTGTGTATCGTACCTCCGCAGCAGAGAGCGCGACTTGGGCAATGTGTCGGGGCTCTCCTTGAAGAGGAACCTCCGAATGCCGAGCACGTAGGACTCGATGTAGGCGTCCCAGTCGATGTTGGTGACGTCGAAGTCGAAGGTGGCGCGGTCGTCGGCGGCGAGCGTGCCGCACAGCGCCTGCACGTTCTCGTCCGCGAACGCCCACTGGCGCGTCGTGAAATACTCCAAGCACGCAGACGCCTTCTCTAGTTTGTTCTGAACGCGGACCATCCTACAAATTACAAAATATGCTAGTTTATAAATACAAAGTACAAAAGTCAAATTTTTAAGCAGTTTTTGTTTTTGTTACAGAAAATATTACGAATAGATTTTTTTAAAACAAATAGGTGATAATTATTTCGCTAGAGAATTTGCTTCGTTCACTTGAATATATTCATACATAGGCTTGTTGCCGGTGGCGCGGGAGACGAGGTCCATGAGGTGCGCGGGCAGGCGATGCTGCAGCAGCGACAGCGCGCCGTGCTTCAAGCGGTTGCCTGTGATATCACCACCCGGATACCACACCACTTCACCTACACAAACACAATAAATATCATTGATACAAGAACCATTGAATTATTGACCATTTAGTATGTTCTGTATGGGAATGTAAAAGCTACAACTGTGATAGATCTGGTTTAGATTTAGTTTGAGAAATCTATGCTAGGGGTCGCTTGGCACTCTGATTAATTCTGAGTGCAACAGTTTGTAGATAAATTTTAAGCGTGTGCAATTAATGTTGGATAACTCACTGAATGGGTGTTTTCTCATATACTTGAAGCTGGTCTTGACGAAGCGCTGCCACGTGATCGGGTTCTGCTGGCCGGTGCAGCAGTTGTACACCACCACGCCCTCGCCACTGACCACACACAACACTTACACATTATTACACAATCTATACAACGAGTTATGCTACAATAAAACATGCTAACATAAAATTCCCAACTGCTCTCATCAGGATAAGAAATTTTATCAAGATTTCGCGTGTTCGAATAAATCGTTTCGAAGCATCAGATGTGATATCTGCAAAGCGCTGGATGGTCAAAAAATCTAACAATGTATATAAAAATCAATGTAACC